CAAACTCCTGCCATTGCCAGGAAGAATGCACCTTCCTTGTTGGGAGAAACCAGACTGTTCTGAATGGCACCTATATTAATTGGGTCTTAGTTCACAGTCTGATTTACTGTGCTGTCTCCAGAGATTTTGTCAAATTTTCCACAGTCTCCAGTGCTTCTTTCTGACTTTCTGGTTCTCAGGTTGCAGGCTTGGTAGGGAATCTACTTTATTTTTTCCTATCTATAATCAAATTCTACTGAGACTAAAGCATGGCTATCTGGCCCCAGGACAAGGTCTACATCAAGCCGTATCTTCTCTCAGACATTATATTTACCTTTTGGACTCTCAGTTTGTCACACTCTTTTTTTTCCTGTTTGACCAACACATCTCTCAGGGCCTTGCTGGTATAAGTAACCACATTTTTTGTGCCCTTCCAAAACAACATGATCTCACCAAAAAGGCCTCTTGCCTTGTGTCCAGCTCAGCTCTGCCATTTCAAATGTGCTGAAGGTCTCCCGGGCAAGGCTCAATACTAAGACTATGACCTCTCTGATATTCCTGGGATCATCATCTACAAGGCATCAAGATCTTTTTCAAGTTCCTTTATCCCTTTGTGCTAAAGTAACCTTGCCAACTATTTCAACTTTATACATTTTTGGGAAATGTATATCTGAGGTGCTCCTGAGAGGAGAAAAAGGCTTGTAGTTGAATCACAAACCAAAGGAACACAAATCTACCTCAGTCACTCACTTGCTGTGCATTAATATAGTATAACTACAGAAGTGTTTTAAACCAGTAGGTTTACGAAACAGAAAAACAAGGCAAATCAAATCTCACTGATTAAGGGAAGTTATGATATCCCACCTACTGGCACTAGTGAGGCTGCAGCTGTAAAATCATGCTCAGTTTGGTGGCCCCTCACCCCCGAATTCAAGAGAGATGTGGAGAAAGGAATGGAGGTCCAGTACAAAGCTATCGAGATGACCAGGGCACGTGTGAGCTGAGGCTGAGGGAGCTGGCTTTGTTGACTCCCACCAAGAGGTGGTCAAGGATGCATCTAGGAACAGCCCACAACTACTTGAAGGGCAGTTACAGAGATGACAGAGTCAAAGTCTTCTCTGTAGTGGCAGGTGAGACAGCAACGGCCACAAATTGAAGCGTGGGGTGTCCCAGCTGGACTTTTGGAGAAGGTTCCTCACTGGGAGGCTACGCAACACTGACACAGGCTGCTGGGAGTGCTGGAGCCACCATCGCCAGGGCTTTAGAGACTTGGTGAGACATGGCCACAGCTGACCTGACCCACTGGTGCTGGTGACAGTCCTGCTTGGAGCAGAAGAATGGATGAGATAATCTTGAGAAGTCACTTCCAATCAACTTTGATTATGATTCGAGGGTTATCATCTACAGATGTAGTTAATACTGTAACACAATAGCAGAATCTTTCCAAAAGATTTGAATAATGGCTCAATTAGCTCAGCACGTACATTCAGTGGTGTTCAAACTGGAAGAAGACTACTGCAAAATGTCTTTATCAAACTTACAGGAGCACATTTATCATCTGCTACCATTAACATTTTCCTAGCTGCTTATAAATCTTTCTTATTAAGTTTTAACTAATTAGAAGTCATTGCACATACTGCTCTTTCATTATGGAGTTTCATATTCGTTCCTCATTTTCTGTTAATCCATTGTCTTTGTAAAGGAAATTTATCTATTCTATTTTGAAATATAGAGATTTCATTCCCCAGTTCTGTTTTGGTAGTTGATCAACTTCCAGAACTCATTATTAAATTCAGGAGGATGCTCCTAATTATCAGATGTATTACCATACTGTTTTTTAACTTGTTAAAGAATTTTATGTTTCATGACATCTTTAATAATAATTTTTCACAATGCTTAAATATTGGTAAATTATTCTCAATTTCCAGTATTTTTTCCTATTCTTAATTTTTTTCTTAGTTTTTTCAACAAGAGCCATAATTTCTTAATCCAATAGAATATACAGTTGAATGATATAATGGATATTAATTTTTATATTCTAATATTTGCCCTATTTACATCCATTGGCTTTCCACTTTGAAATGGGACACCTTAGCACATATATAAAGGCAAGTCAGTGTGGTTGTAAAGGCATTCTGATGGTTCGTGTTCTTTCCTATAAATCAAGGCATTGCCCTGTCTTTTCTGAAGTTATACAGAAAGTGTCCTTAGTTTACAAGGCCTGTTATTTGTATGGTACCGTTTAGCACGAAGAGCTCACTTATTTTAAGTTCTAAGAGCTAATAGGGTTCTGATGTGCATGTTTAGCCCATATT